CGCCCAGGAGGCCACGAGAGGCCCCCAATAAGCCCCCAAGAGGCTCCAAAGAGACCCTCAAGAATCTCCGATATGTCCCCCGAGGCACCCAAGACGCTCTCAGAGGCCCCCAGGACTGCCAAGAGGCCCCGAAGACGCTCCAAGGGGACTTACAGAAACTTTCAAAAGACATCCGAAGAAACTTCGAGCATCCATGAGGCCTCTGGCCATTTTGCTCGCACTCCTCCTACTCCTCCTCCTCCTCCGCCTGTTCCGCCCTTTTTCCCCTCCTCCTCCCCCTCCCCCTTCTCCTCCTCCAATTCCTTCTCCATCTTCCACCTCTTGGGGTATGGCGGCTTGCTTCCCAACCCCGTTATCTCACTGCATGATCCTCCACATCCCTGGTCAGGGCAACTCGCCTGGGCATCGCTTCTGGTCCAGAACAGAACAAGGCACATGCGTCCACAAACCATACGCCTTCCCCTGTGATGTGCTCGGTGGGCTTCATACATATACAGTGACTGAGACGTAGTTTCGCCACCTGTAGCACCACCTCTTGCGATGGAGGAAGGCATTCTTTTCTCACAGGCCACCACCATCTCCCTCGTCTGGGAGACGGCGAAGTGGTCAACAGGGAACTCGGGTGTGGAACTGCCCAGGAAGGTAACTCGCAAGGCTACTGGGATTGCTGACGACCTCGTACACTGGCAGTGCACAATACGCATTAGTATCAAGAACTTTGTTTTCCGCACCGAAGACGGTGTACGTCAAGTCGTCTGGGCGGCCACGGGGCTCGGTGCACAGGCGCCCCCGCTTCGCAACCCGTGGGGTCCTGGAGAGTCTGTGCACCAAATTCCTTCGCCGAGTCCCTGGGCTCCCTGGTCGGCACACTGGGGTGCTCTTCCGCACAGTCCTCGGCGACCCAACGAGAGTGGGGAACATGGGACGCACAGAGACACACTAGTACTACGTGTCCTCCTGGAAGGCGCGCGTCCGACCCGAACACGTAGCAAACCCATATTGTAGTACATCGCTTCCCGAGCGGTGTGGCCAGAAAGCGCCCGCCACGACGCATATACTATAAGATGTTTCGATGCGCGCGTCGCCCCTGGGCGGGACGACGCACACATAGTGTTAGTATATTGGGATGACTGCCTCAAGATGGCTTGCAGTTAAGCTGCTGCCGCAAGGAACACCAAATAAGGAATGACGCACTCCCAAGAGAGCCCAAGGCGGCCCCAACAAGCATGAAATACGGACCCCAGGCTGCCCGAGGAAAACCCAACGCAGCCTAGATGGCCCCAATGGTGCCTCAGAAGAAGCACCATTGGGTGCCTAATGGCGCCGCCTCCGACCAAGCTTCAAGACGGCCCACGAAAGCCGCCCAGACGGCATCAACTGCGTCTACCTAGCCGATGCGGGAGAGCTCGATAGAACCATTGCGCCCAAGACGAACCCAACAATCCCCAAATAAACCCAGCATACACCCCCGAGGCCCCAAAGATGGACCCCAGAGAGGCTCCCAACAACCCCTCAAGGGACTTCCAAAACAACTCCTACGAACCAACGCAACAACCATGTGACGATGCGGTCACGCCCCGCTTCAATACTGCAGCGCTGCTTCGCAACCTGCCCAGCACGGTTTCACCTAACTGTTTGGGAGACCTCCTCTTAACCATCCTGCGCGCTTGCCTGACACGGTGGAAGGCTTTGCCGTGCGCAACTCGATATGCACATCAAAATGAATGCCACGAGGCTGAGACGGAAACCCATAGTTCCAACAAGTCGTTCTCCCGATAGTGGTGTCAACAGCGGCACCGGGACTGCATAAGTGAACTACCGTCGTCTCGGTCGGCATATCTGTTGTAGCGAGATTTGACCAGCTGGCATGCGGTCAACATGCGTATTGTTCCAGCGTGACTCGAAACAAAGTTGTCACGGGGAGCCAAGGCAGATTTTGGGACAATGCAACACTTCTGGCCTCCAGTGTTGAGGCGTGCGCCCTACCAGCCCGTAGAACGCAACAGTTGCTTCCCTTGGCCACCGCTCTGTGCCGCAGCTGCTGTGCTGAGTCCCTTGTTTTTGTTATGGGATGCTGCTCCCTGCGAAGCTATGCCGACGACGGCCACCGCATCAACGCGTACGTGCGTGTATGTTGTGATGCGAGTCCCTTGGTGCTCTGCCTTCCGAAACACGAATCCGAAGGGGAAGTTCATGCTGCGGCGATCTGTGGCCCCCCCCTCCCCGCTTCCCCAAAACCATCCTTCCACGATGGCAGACACGCGCGGCCGCGTAGCTAATTTGCATAAGATGTTGCAACAACCGATGGGCCAGGCCCTGGACCTGCGAAGACGCAAGGGCTGTTCAGTGGGCTGCCATCGCCCGCTTGTGCTTCGATGCCGCTTCGATGCCCGCATGTGCTTCGATGGCCGGTGACCACACACACACTGATGTTGGGGGATGGGTGCAACGTTCGGTTTGCGTTTCGCTTCGCGTCGGGTTGCCCACCCATCTGATGGAACTCGTCTAAGCCTTTCTAGTCATCGCAACTGCTCGCTCGGTGAGTCGATGTAGGCGCATCTATATATATATATATATATATATACATATATATATATACAGAGAAAGAGAGAGATATGTAAAGCTGTCTGCATTCCGAGTGTCCTGGCACATCGGATAATTTGACCCGACAAACACCTGTAATTATCATGGCTGCTCGCATTATCTGGGCTGCTCCAGTATTCGAACTCTTGCAACTGTTCGACCACGCATAGACTGTAATCCTGATCCCCCGCAGGCGCTCCAACGAAACACTTCCTCATCATCAAACCAACTGAGCCCATGTAGCCCCTGCAACTTGGGAAACCATGACAAGGCCTGCTAGCCAGCGGAGCACTACCAACTTATCCAAATAGAAATTCCAAGCATTATGGCACATAACATTTGCCACATTGTTCCGCCGTCTTACCTCATGAAACTCATCCAACAATCATCGCGAGCCTATGACGTGAAGCGATATACGTATTCTCGTTTATTATGAAGCTCCAAGTCCTAGGCTATTCGGGCTCCTCAAACTACAAGTCGTTTTGCATAGCATGGTTTTGGTTTGTCCTTTTATTGTCAATATCATGATTATGCTGGCTCTTCGAACATGTCCAGCGGCTTTCAACTCAGCCACCCATTCTAGCAATTCCAATTCCTTTTTTTCACATACTCTGAGCATATCGATAGCATCACTGTCCCACTTGATGAAGCCCGTCTAACTCGTCTGACCCACCTGGCGAAACTACCACTGCTGTAGCTCTTTTAAGCAGTTCAACTGTTCTCACCATCTTTCTGACTAGCTCAGTATACATGTAGCAACGGTGCAACCACATGAGAACCACGGGGAAACCTCACAAGGCTGCCACGGACAGAAACGCCAAGGTAACAGGACAACCGCAGGGAAAAACCATGGGACGAGTGCACTGGAGAGCTCCGGGGGGGCAAACTTGGTTATCGAACCCTTCGGACCCTTCTACCTCTACCATGTGGAACCGGCGTAACAATTCAACATTATTGCTACTCTAACTCGCTTGGCCCCCCCAGGTCGTTCTAAAGATCTCTCCAACTACAAATAAAAAACGATTTCGCTGCCCAGGTGATGACAGGACAAACGCGAGGCAAATATGAGACAACCGAACGCAACGGCGCGACAAACGCCACAAAGTCGGACGATCAACACAAACACGAAACACAACCGCGCGGAGCACCCGCACGACAACGACAGCCACAGAACGACGGCGAGTCAACCCGGGAAGGCCTGTGGCAGCCGAGGCAGCAACGGGACAACGGCGGTACAGCCCGGAATAAGAGAAGGTGAGAATGAACATCTCTCTCCGCCATACGGTGAGGCCAACATTGGATGAGGAAACGTTGGATGAGGAATACAAAGTCTGGAAGCCCGTGAAACTCCAATCGTGGATTGACCGTGGATACCACCGCCGCCCTCATAAGACAAGGACCCCTCCAGGCTCTGAACTTTCCTGGGCACGTTCCTTAATCGATGCCACCACCGTACATCGTCTGGTTCTGGGATCACAGACCGGGTACCTGACGACCGTTCGGGACGATCTGGCCGCCCCTGGAACGCTTTCGGCAAGGCGCAGCTGCCTGAGAGCATCCCGAGGCCAGAGGACCGCCGAGGACCGACGGAATCGTCCGGCAACCCCGAACAACGAAACGCTCCTCCCTGCCTCACGCGCTCCTGCTCCTGCTCCTGCTCCTGCTCCTGCCCCTGCTCCTGCTCCTCCTTCGACTCGGGGATAGCCGGGGCACCCCTCACTGGCGGAGCCAGTGGGGCGGTCGGCGCCGCCTGGGTCGGCGGGGTATAAGTAGAGCCGGGGACCAGGCCGCAGGACTGGCGGAGGCGGGAGGGGTCGCGCCTCCCCGGGGGGTGGGGGGTAGGCTGCTTTGGGACTGTGCCCCTCCTCTCCTCCTTTCTCCCTTCTCCTCGTCGCCTCCCCCTCTCGTCTCCTCTCCTCCCCCCAGAGCTCACAACTCCCACGGCGGTTCACCCCCCCGCCGGGGCGAGGCCGGGGGACCTGCGGCGGCGCGCGGAGCGCGCCGCCGCCGTTAGTCACGTGGTGGTCGATGTTTCGGCCGCGTGCGCTTCAGGAGTCTCCGCCCTGTCGCCCAGGACAGGCCTGGGTGTAGGCAGCAGGCTCGTTTTCGCCGCCGTTGTGCGTGTTTCGCATCTTCGGAGGTCAAGCCAGCAGAATCCAACAGAATTCTGCTCCTCCTCCTGCTCCTGCTCCTGCTCCTGCTCCTGTTCCTGCTCCTGCTCCTGCTCCTGCTCCTGCTCCTGCTCCTGCTCCTGTTCCTCCTGCTCCTGCTCCTGCTCCTGCTCCTGCTCCTGCTCCTGCTCCTGCTCCTCCTCCTCCTCCTCCTCCTCCTCGTCCTGGAGAGGACGACGACGACGCCAGGCGCAAGCAAACAGCGCGGAGGTGGCCCGCGGAGCCCGGCGCGGAGGGCCACCCCGCCTGGCGCAGCCTCTCCTCCGCCCGCTGCCTCGCCAGGTTGTGCCGCCTGCGGCGGCGCGGGTCGCCCCAGAGGCGGGCAACGACGACGACCACGACGACTCCCGCGACGACTCTCCACGACGACTCTCCACGACGACTCTCCACGACGACTTGCAACGACAACGACCGCGACGACGGCTCTTGAGGGGCGAGATGGGAGGCTTTCAGACGTTTGTGGCCCTGGTCGGGCCTCCCGCAGGCCTCGGGAGGCCCCCAGGGACCTGCTGGGACCTCCTGGGGTCTGGACCTGGGCCGAAAGCAAAACATACCCGCGACGACAACCACGACAAGGTCGACGTTGTCGCTTTGTAGGTTTTGGGCGTTGCTGAGGGGTTCACGCCTCCACGGCTGATTGCAGCTCGGTGAGCTGGCCAGGATGGGCGCTGGGAGCTTAAAGGCCCACCCCGAACTACCGCCATCGTCGCAACTTGCTTTAGCCATACCATCCGCAACGACAGGACGGATGGGATAGTTCAATACATATAAATATATATATATATATATATAGAAAGTTGAACGACATCATGTGAGGAAAAACATGTGAATTGATAGATCGGTGGTCCCAAGCGGGGCTCTGAGAGGAGTCCGTGGGCAGCTTTCAACTGGATGCTGGTCAGACGGCGACGACGACGGCGACAAGAAGAAAGAGGACGATAACGAGCACGAGGAAAGGGCCAACAGCGACTGTGCAAGCCCTCTCCTCCCCCTCCTCCTCCTCCTCCTCCTCCTCCTCCTCCTCCTCCTCCTCCTCCTCCTCCTCCTCTCCTCCCCCTCCATCTCTTCCGACCTCCTCCTCCTCATCCTCTTCCTCTTCCTCTGTCATCGCTGACGACGACAGCGGCGCTACTGTGTATTACGTAGGGGGCGCGTTGACTTTTTGGGCGTCCCCAGTGACCAAAACGGATCCTTACAGTCTGGTTCGGGAAACGAAGAGGCGCGGTCGAAGACCCTCGTCGAATTGGCACCCGCAGTCGCAAATCACGCGAGCAATGCACTGCAGCGAATCGCAGGGGAGCCTCGGTGGCATGCAGGCGCGCCGTCAGTGCACCCAAACGGATCTTGAGTCCTTCCGCGCCTGGGTCGGGGAGCGGGACGCCGGACCAATCGCAAATGTCCCAACCTGGCCTGGCTGGCTTTGCTGCCATCTCACTTTCCTGGCCCATCCAGGACGCACCGTGCTCTGCTGGCCCTGCTTCCCTCGGGACCGTGCGGCAAATCGCGGAGGAGCACGAGCCTCGCCACGCCGGCGGCGCAGACCAATGCCGTCGTGGCCACCAGGGCGAGACCCTTTGATGTCCGCATGCGCTTGCTGATGTTGCAAAACATCTGGCCATTTACCTCAAGCAAACATCCACCTCAAGCTAGCATCCAGCGCGCACCCAGCAATCCACGGGGGTCTGACCGCCTCGTCGGTGTCCAGGGGGACGGCGATTGACAGCGAGCCTGCCAGTTGTGAGCGCGAGATCAGTCTCCCCAGGCAGCTCGCTGGGCTCTGGCGTGAGGCCTTCCGAGGGGTACGCGTGGCCGAGCAACACGAGGAAGGTCAGCGCCCGAAGCGAGCCCGCGCGTGCCTCCAGCAAGCCAGCCTCCGCTCGCACTGCCTTGTAGTGTGTGGATGCAGATGCAAGCTTGCTCGCCAGCGTATCCTTAACACGCGGGTAGGCCGTGGCAGCAGTGATCTGCCGCACCAAGCAGCCGCGCCGTGCCAACATGCAACGAGCCGGCGCCAACGTAGACGACCTGGCCGCGATCCAGCAACAGCCGTGGACATACTCGATGTTGAAATTGGCAGGCAAAGTGGACATGCACTGTTATCCATGTTTCTCTGGGCGCACGGCTGTTACAACTACTCCCGCTACTGCTACCACTACTGCCACTCTTGCTACCCCTTCTATTTTTCCACCTTTCGGAGCTACTGTTGCAATTACTACGGATATGTTCACGACTGCGACTGCTGCTCCTGCAGGTCCTACTAATACTGCTACTGCGGCTACGACTGCTACTCAGACGGCTGCGACACACGTTACTGCTACTTCAAAAAGGGGCTAGCACCAACTCTAAGATCACGGCTACTTCTATTAAGACTACTACTACTACTACTACCACTACTACTACCACTACTACTACTACTACTACTACTACTACTACTACTACTACTACTACTACTACTACTACTACTACTACTACTCTACTACTAATACTACTACTACTACTACTACTACTACTACTACTACTACTACTACTACTACTACTACGACTACTACTACTACTTCTACTTCTACTTCTACTACTTCCACTACTTCTACTACTACTACGACTGTGACTACGACATGCGACTACGACTACGACTACTACTACTACTACTACTACTACTACTACTACGTACACTACTACTAGTATTACAACTACGACGACAACTACTACTACTACTACTACTACTACAACTACTACTACTCCTACGGCTACTATTACCACGACAGAAACAAAACCTACAACAAGAACAACAACTAATACTACTACTACTACTACTAATACTAATACTACTACTACTATGACTACTACTACGACTGCGACTACTACTACTACTACGCCTACCACGACTACAACTACGAGAACGACTACTACGACGGCTACTACTACTACTACAACTACTACTCCTACAACTACAGCAACACAAAGTACTACTACTATTACTACTACTACTACTACTACTACTACTACTACAACTACTACTACTACTACTACTACTACTACTACTACAACCACTACTACTACTACTACTACTACTACTACTACTACTACTACACCTACGACTACGACGACTACTGCCACCACCAGTCTTGTACTATTACTATATCTACTATTACTATTCATACTACGACTGCTACTACTACTACTACTACTACTACTACTACTACTACTACTAGTGCATCGGCGGCGACGACGACTACTACTATCGCTACTACTACTACTACTACTACTACTACTACTACTACTACTACTACTGCTACGACTACTCCCACTACTACTACAACGACGACTACTACTACTACTACTACGACTACTATTACGACGTCTAATACTACTACTCCGACCACTACTACTACTACTACTACTACTGCTACTACTACTACTACTGCTACTACTACTACTACTACTACTACGACTACGACTACTACTACTACTACTACTACTGCTACTAGTATGCTAGCACTACTACTGCAAGTACTACTGCCACGTCGGCTAATAGTACTGCTACTACGACTACGGCTACTACCACGACCACAACAACAACTACTACTACTAATAGTCTACTACT